TTAGTTAACTATATTTTTCAAGTCAATTATCTTTTTCAATATAAAAAATATTAAGTTTTTTCACAGTTGTTCTGTTTTCAGATAAATAAATATTTTTTTTACTATGTAGGTATCCCTAGAAATCCTTCTTAACAATTTTTTTAGAATTTTTTTGCATTCTGGCAGTAGTTTATACCTTAGGAAATGTTGGTATATTCACGCTATGCATACATGGCCGTCAAGGGAGCCATGACCTGCTTACTTTTTTTTTGCGAGAACCTTTTGTTTTAGAAATATAGGCAATTATTTTAGAAAGTATGGATTTTATTTTAGAAATTGAGGGGTTGACCACCTCTACTTTGAAGACCGTGTCAACGCCATTGGCATAGGCGAATTCAAATCACGCTTTAAGTAGCAAATCACTATTTTGGTCTATAAAATGAAAATTGTAGATTTACCGATAAAATAATTATAACAAAAGTTGTTGGTGTTACATAGTAGAGAACTCATGTAAACGTCATTTTAAAAATAGTGACCGAATTTCAAAGTAATCGGTAACGCTTTGAGGTATAAGTAGCAAAAAACTGACAAAACTTTAACTAAAACTGCAATAAATCCTACACCAGTCATCCAATCAGACTGAAATTTTGTCCAGAGTTTGGTGTGACTATTGGCTACATTTGCCAATTTTTATCAAACTATATTGAGTGGTTCAAATTCTACAAGTGTTTTTATGGGCGCACTATGAAGTCAAAATATGAACATTCAGATTAAATTATTTTCCGTGGAAAAAATTAAATGATTTCAAAATTTGCATCACAGGGTACCTTGATGTGTACGCTAACTTTCCGTGGCGTTGTAGGGACAGCTAGTTAGGTATCATTCGCAGCCGTTGCCAGGTTTTTTTTTTTTCTTGTTTTGTTTTGACGACAGAGCACGTTTATATTTTTAAACGGCTTTTTGTTTCTAATTTTGTATTGCGTTTAAAAAGTTAAAACTTCAAAATAATTTATCTTCATTTCCTTATTATTATTATTATTATTATTATTATTATTATTATTATTATTATTATTATTATTATTATTATTATTATTATTATTATTATTATTATTATTATTATTATTATTATTATTGCTATTATTATTATTAATAACGATAACAACAATAATAATATAAATATTATATAAGTTATAATTGAAAGTATAATAGTAAAAAGTAAATATCAATTAATTGATATTTACTTTTATATACATATTATGTATATAATAATAGTATAAATAAAATAGTAATAATATTAATAAGGAACAACACTAGTACTTATCAAACTTTTCATATATAAAATATTATTGTTATAATTTTTATATATTTCATATATAAAAATTATAACAATAATATTTTATATATGAAAAATGCGAGATATATATTCTCATGTATATATACCTATATACATACACACATAAGCACATATACAAGCATATATATACATAAATATACATACACATGTATACCTATATATACATACATACATATACAAACACATGCGTATATACAAATACATCCACACATACAAATACATACACTCATACACATGCACATATACATACAGACATACATACACATACCCATACACATACATACACACATACATGCATATACACATACATGCATACACACATATACACATATACATAAATCTGTACACACACATACATATACATATATACACATATACATATATACATACACACAGATATATACATATACACACATACTTATATACATGTATATATATATATATATATATATATATATATATATATATATATATATATATATATATATATATATGTATATATATATATATATATATACATACATACATACATATACATACACATATACATGCATACATATGCACATACCCATACATTAATACACACACACATATACATGCATACATATACACATACCCATACATTAATACAGAAACACATATACAAAATACACACATACACACATAGTTGTGTACACATACATACATACATACATACATACATACATACATACATACATACATACATACATACATACATACATACATACATACATACATACATACATTTATACATACATACATACTTTAAACATACCTACATACATACATATATATACATACACATACACCCATACATATATACCCACCCACATATTTTAAGTTATCTTTATAATTGAAAAAGTTTGAAAATGTAAGGGGCAAATTATTATGGCATTGATTCCAAACAAGCAGGTAATTGGATAGTTGGATTAGGTCACACAATTCAAGAACTTTTGATAGATAATATAGTATGTTAGAATTTAAATTAGTATTCTGAAAATACATTATTTTTAGGGCTTTGTTTTGTAGATGAGTTATCTTTAAAAATGCATGGGGATGAGATTGACCCCAGACTTGACAAGCATATATGAGATGAGTATGAAAAATAGCATGATATCTATTGAGCAGAGTTTCTAGATTTACATAATGACGGATTTTAGATAACATTCCAATCGATCGACTTAATTTTAATGCTAGGTCTTGAAGATGTGATGCGAAGGATAAATTAAAATCTATTTTGATACCAAGATATTTCATAGAACTAACAAGATTTATTTTCTGTCTACTTATTCTGAAATTAAGTTGTTTATTTATTTTTGTTTGAATAGATTTAAATATAATATTTTCTGTTTTCTTAGAGTCAAGGGATAATTTGTTGGAGCGGAGCCATTGAACAATGTTGGCTAGATTGTGATTCATATGTTTATCAAGGTTTTTAAAAGATTTATTAATTAGGAGCAAATTGGTGTCATCAGCAAAGTG